AATGCCACATTAGGTTTTCGGGACGCATGCGGACGGTGGCACTGGGGCCTTCGCTGAAGCTCCCTATGGGGCCACGAAGCGCTGCACTGGGTGGGGGGGAACGCTGTACTGGGTGGGTGGTGTGCCAAATTGGGCTTCCTGGACGCATGCCGACGGTCCCACGTGGGGCTTCGGTGGAGCTCCCAATGGGGCCACGAAACGCTGTACCGGGTGGGTGACAATGCCAAATTGGGTTTCGGGACGCATGCGGACGGTGGCACTGGGGCCTTCGGTGGAGCTCCTTATGTGGCCACGAAACGCTGTACTGGGTGGGTGATTAAGTTTCTGGGACGCATGCGGACGGCCCAACTGCGGGCTTCGGTGGAGCTCCCTATGGGGCAACGAAACGCTGTACTGGATGGGTGAAAAATGCCACATTGGGTTTTCGGGACGCATGCGGACGGTGACACTGGGGCCTTCGGTGGATTTCCCTATGGGGCCACGAAACGCTGCACTGAGTGGGTGAAAATGCCACAGGGGTGAAAATCCCACATTTGGTTTTCGGGACGCATGCGGACGGTGGCACTGGGGCCTTCGGTGGAGCTCCCTATGGGGCCACGAAACGCTTTACTGGGTGGGTGAAAATGCCAAATTGGGTGTTTCGGGACGCATGCGGACGGTCCCACTGGAGGCTTCGGTGGAGCTCCCTATGGGGCTACGGAACGCTGCACTGGGTGTGCGGGGCGTATGCGGACGGTCCCACTGCGGGCTTCGGTGGAGCTCCCTATGTGGCCACGAAACGCTATACTGGGTATACGGGACGCATGCGGACGGTAGCACTGGGACCTTCGGTGGGGCGCCCTATGGGGCCACGAAACGCTGTACTGAGTGGGTGAAACGCAGGGAGGAGGAGGAGGAGGAGGAGGAGGAGGAGGAGGAGCAGCAGGAGAACGCGGGGACCGTTATTCAAAACGAAGACCCAACACCACAGGATGGTTGGGAAAAATCAGAACGTCGCCTGCCTGGGACATGCACTTCCTAGGCAGACTAAGACCCATCGCAGATCTACTGACCTGTGTCGGTCCAAATCCGGGCCAGTCGGGCTTTGCAGAATCCTGCAAGGTCCTGCAGGATCCTGGAGGATCCTGCGCGCTAACCCGGGTCACCTGCACCCATGGCTCTGCAGGATCCTGCAAGATCTGGCACTCTGGCTGACCCCTATTTTTTGGAGTCCCGAAACGGTGCGGTGACAGACCGTGCGGTGACCTCGGAACCCCAAGAGACCTCACCGCACGGTCCGTCACCGCACGGTCTTGGGACCCTGGAGGCCCCTGCCGCCCGAGAGGTCCTCGGAGAACGACCCGAGTCGCAAAACCGTGCGGTGACCCCGAATCCCCACCGACTCACCGCACGGTGTGGTCACCACCCCGTTTGGGGACCCCCGACATTTGCGTTGATCCCGTCTCAAGGCTCCCAGACCAAGGGCTGGGCCGCTATGCCAGGCTTCATACACTTTTTTGATATGCGGGGCGAGCGCGAACCTCTTCCGCGCTAAAGCTAGGCGGGCTACGCACAGCTTTATTTAGGGAGACAGGGTACAGGAAGGCGGGGCCTCAGGCGGCCAGAGTGGGCGCCAGGGCTTCATACACCCGACGTTGCAACAACAAAAAATGCGCGCTGCAAAATCGCGACCCGAGCCCTGGCCCCGATCTCTCTGCGGCACTTTTCGAGCCGGATCGACCTGTGAAGAAAATCGCCTGGTGAGAAAGAATAGCAGCGCCTGGATCTCAGGGTCCCCCTCAACCTATCCCCCCCTCAGCGTTAGGTCAGGCATGTCCTCCTACAAGAGGATGTTGAATGAAAAACGAAACAGAATCCAAGCAAAAAAAAAAACGAATTGTCGAAAAATCGTCCCCTGACTATTCCTTGAGCATTTATTGATACTCCTCCTGTAGAGGGACATGCCCGACTTAACCCTACATCCCACACGTCGGGAGGCCCCGAGGCCCGGTATGAGTGCCCCGGGAGGCCGAGAACTCTGACAAGCCTCCGTCTCGATCCGCTCGAGACGCCAGGTGTCTGGGGCTGCCCCTGTGAATGTCGTTTAACCGATCCCCATCACCAGCGGTGCGGCCTGGGCCCCACCGGCCGATTTACCCCCCCCAGATGGGGATATGGGCCGTCCCCTTCGGGTTTCGAGGGGTGCATTCCCAACTGGGGTGGCAATTTGGTGGGGGTCGCGAAGGGGACGAGGACGGGGATGGGGGTCGGAGAAGCGATGCTGACCCGTGCGGCCCCGAGCGGTCCTTCTTGTCCTCGTTGTTGACCGTCGTCAGCGCCACGCACGCGGCGGACTGCGGCGGGCGCCGCGCCCGGCCCGAACGGGGGCGGCACCGCCGGCCGCCCTGCGAGAAAAGACCGGTGCCAGCCCTGGACTCGCGCGGCAGCGGCCAGAACCTGCTCCTGCTTTGCCCGGAGACTCGGGGATTCTCGGTGTACCTCGATCTGCCTGGGTGGGTTGGCCTGGATTCACCTGGATTTGCCTCGATTTATCCGGCTGGATCCCCACAAGTCGATGGGCGAAAGGTAGTGACGCCCTTAGGAAACTAGGGCCGCCGAGGGTGGGACATCGCACGCATGGAGCGTGCAAGGCGGAACTCGGACTGCCAAAAAACGGCTCTCTGTGAAAAGCGGCCCTGAGGAGCCCCCCAAGAGGCCCGCAAGACGGCCCCCAAGATGGCCCCCAAGACGGCCCACAGACCTCCAAAAACGGCCCTGAAGCGCCCAAAGAGGGGCCCACGACTGCCCAGAGAGGCCCCCAAGACGACGCCCTCCGAAGGCCAAGACATCCCCTCGAGGCCCCCAGACAGGGGCCCTTCGAGTCCCCCCAGAGGCCCCGCCGGAGGCCCCCAGGAGCCCAGGAAGCCCCCAGAGGCAGTCCTGAGAGGGCCGCAAGAGGTCTCCGTTCCTTCCTCCTCCATCCCCTTCCCTTGTGCGTAGCTCCTCCCCGTCGCACCCCTGGACGCGTCGGCAGGACGGGCCGAGCGTGTCGCCTGAGACTTCCTCACCACTTGTGACCCTGACGCTTGGAATTTGCAACAGTTTCACAGATCGAGGGCGTTTGGGGCCTTTTGGCGAAAGGGATGTGCATGACAGAGGCTTAGACGTTCGTTCCGTGCCCATGGAGCCGGGGATGCCGAGAGAGGGTCTCGCGGTTTCTCGTCCTGCCTCACTGCGCTCGGCGGCGGTCATGCCGGCGCTCGTTTTGGCCTGCCCGTGCATCTCTGACGTGCACGGCGTCTTCTCTCTCTCTCTCTCTCTCTCTTCACGAACGGAGGGCGGGTGGTCTTCAAAACGCGGCTCTCGCCGTGGCCCCGCCCACCGCAAAACAAGGCCCGAGGCGGGGGCGGGGGCGCGGGGGCGGAAAAGGAGGAGGAGGAGGAGGAGGAGGAGGAGGAGAAGGAGGAGGAGGAGGAGGAGGAGGAGGAGGAGAGGGAGGAGGAGGGCCCAGGGGGGCGGAGCGGCCCTGGGGGCCAGGGCAGGGCGGGCGGCGGAGACAAAGCGAGGCGCCAGCTCGCTCGGCAGGAGCGGGGCGCGGCAGCCACCGGCAGGCAGCGCCGGGCGGCCAGCTGCAGCAGCCCACTTCGTGGGGTGCCGCGCACGTCGCTGCCGCACGCGGCAGGGCCTCGCGGTGCCGAGGCCCACCCGTGCAGTCGTTCTCGAGTGTCGCCGCGGCCCCGCAAGAGCACGTCGATGCGGATCGCAGGCCGCATCACCGGGCCCCAGGCGATGCCCGACGCTGCAGCCGGTGGAGCTAAAGTCGTCGATGAGAATGCCTGGGCTCAAGCTGAACAACCTACATGTACGGGAGGGGGTCGGAGCAACAGGGCGCGGTCAGAGAGAAGGAGGACCTGGCGGCCCAAGCAGCAGCCAGGGTCAGCAGAGACGACGGTTTCAATTCAAGCCAGGTCTCTAGAAGGGCCAGAGTTGACTCGGAGACCATGCGCTGCAGGTGGTCTGGGCCAATGGCAGAGAGAACGATGGTTCCCCCTATTGCATGGTGAATAAGATTGTCCCCATACCTGACGCCCCAACCCTACGCGCTCCAGTTGACCAAGCCAGATTCCAACGTACACGCCAGCAGTCCGGAGTCTCCACACCTCCCTGTTCGCCGCCTCGCTCACACTTGAAGCATTCCGTATCCCCGGCCCCTGGGATCACAAATCTGCCCCCTCTCACCGCGTGAAGCCCCTGCCATGGTAGTCCTACCGTGCAGTACGAAACTCCCATGTGCAGCAGAGATTGCGTCAGATGACGAGGAAGAGGAGGAGGAGGAGGAGGAGGAGGAGGAGGAGGGGAAAGGAGGAGGAGGAGGAGGAGGGAGGAGGAGGAGGAGGAGGAGGAGGAGGAGGAGGAGGAGGAGGAGGAGGAGGAGGAGGAGGAGGAGGGAGGAGGAGGAGGAGGAGGAGGAGGAGGAGGAGGAGGAGGAGGAGGAAGGAGGAGGGTCGTGGTCCATGCTGAGGAGGAGGGTCGTTGTCCATGCTGTCGAATGCGAGCATTACGCCCTGAATGCTGATGCGCCAAAGCACCGTTCTGCTCGAGCCCTGCGGCTCGAATCGGCCTGGCAGGAGGTAGCGAAAAAGTGAAAGCTCCGCAGCGCCGCGTAGGGCCCCCCAAAGCCCCTGCCTGGGGGGGGGGGCACGAGGGTGGGCGGTGGGAGATTGGAGATGCAAATCTCTAAACCCGCATGTTCGCCTGGCTTCGAGCCCCGGGACCATCACAGATCGGCCCGGCTCGAGTGGCGAGGGAAGACGGGGTCGGGGGCTCCGGCGGTGATCGTTTTTACGATGCTGCAGCTTTCTTGCGACGTCAGACCTCGGGGTTGGGGGAGCGCAAGGAGGGGTGGAGCTAGGAGCTCACATAAAAAGGAAGCGGTATGTCTATCCCGCCCTGCCCGCCAGGAGGAGGGGGGAGGAGGGCCGAGCACGAAACACGGGTTGGCCTGCCTCCGAAGGGGCAGG